TTATGTGTTTAATTGCTACAGTTAGACAGTAAAAAGCTGGAAGGATTGCCTAAAGGGAAGGGACGCGATCCTGTGTTGCAGGTAAATGCTTTTTTCCTCTATTAGCAAATACACTAGGGTTTTCTCTTAATAGAGGTTATTGCTATTATTTATAAACAGTATGCACTATAGTTGAGGTTGTTGAGGCAGGTCACACTTGTCATATTGGGCTTTTCTTAGGTAAAACGCTCAAATTGAATTTTGTTCCATCCTTTTTGGCATATTTTTAGTGCTTGATTTCTAAAAGATTTGTTAATATTTCATCTGTTACATCGCATCACAAACATTAAAAACAGGTTACAATGTGTGTTCTTGAGAAAGATGCAAGTTCCATGTACATATTAAGATTTTCTCGTTAAACAGACTTGCATAAACTATTTCATTGTTCATCTATTTCTTTACTCTTGTTATCAGACATAATTTTTTTAATTAATTGGCTATCATTAAGGTTTTGCATTGTGGTTTGCCATTTGAAAAATTAGTGATGGGAAACTATATTTTTTCTTGAAGTTATTTTGGAACAAAGCAATTAAATTTATTATATTTCTATGCAAAAGAAAATGGATGTTGAATTTACTCTACAAATGATGCATTAGAGTAAATTTTAAAGTTATGATGAGTTATATATTGAAATGTGGAGAACTTTTGGGGATTCTGCAGTTGGTTGCTTAACAAATCTTTTGAATGGAATTTTTGAAGGCTGAAAAGGATGCTGAAAGATTGGGAAAAGTTTTGAGGCATAAAATAGAGCTATGGAAGTGAATAAGGTAACATAAAGTTTGAAAAAATTACATAAATTATGGAGAAATGTTTTAGTTTCATGGTAGAATTATCAACTATAGAAGCAAATTTTTTGCTTTAAAATAAATGATGAAATGTATATAGAGCAGAGGTAAGATGCTAATGTGAATTTTTTTTATTTTGAGATGTATGATTTAGTACTACGATAATTGATATGATGAAGATTAAGAAAGAAAAATGCATGTTTAAGGTATTTTGAAGTTATGAAAGATATGTATAATGGAGTAATGGATGATATTATAACTAGTTGTGGAGTGACAAATAGTTTTAAATTACAATAGAACTTCATCTAAGAGCAATATTGAGCACGTCTTTTTTCTATTCTTTATGGAGATGCTTACACAGGTTATTCAAAGTCAAATGCCTTATTGTGTGCTTTTTATTGATGATTTTGCATTAATCAATGAGAATTGGCTGAAATAAGTGAAATGTTTGAATACTGCGAAAGCATTTGAAAAATAAGAACTTAGAATTATTATAATAACATTGAATATATAAGTTACTATTTTTATACTATGATATTAATAATTATCAATTAATATTTTTAGAAGATAAAATGATTTATTGGTAGGATTGATTTAAACATGTTGGATCTAATTGTACAAAAGAGTGAGAATAGAAATATGGTTATAACTTCTAAACTCGAGGTTGATTGATTAGAATTGAGAGGAGTCTTAAGTTTAGGTTTGATGATATCATATAAACTGAACTAAAATTTATAAAACTTCAATTCGGCCGATGATGTCATATAAATCAAAGTGTTGGGCGGAAAAAAATTTATTAATAGTTATGTTTAGTGTTGCAAAAATGAGATATAAAATAAATACATGAAAAACATGACTAATTATTTTATATTGATAATTTGAAGGGCATCCTTTAATTTAAAGTAACTAAACAATGAAAATTGTTCTGGCTGTTTTGATGGGTAAATTGTTCAATTTATATATTATAATTAAGAAAGAGGGGCAATTTGTTCAATTACCAAAGGTAATAAAGGCAAATGTTGTTTGAAATGATTTGTGTAGAATATGTTTACCATCTCATGCAATATTCTGTAGGAATGAATTAAAAATAACAATTTATAAGGTAGACTACAAATAGTTGGCATATGATTACTAATGGCGATAATGTTGAATCACATGTAAATTGTTATTTGATATTCCAAAAAAGCAATATTTTGGAGCGAAAACTTTGAAGAAGAATATGAAAAAGGATAGTGGACACATCAACTACTCTTAATAAAACAAGGACAATTGTAATGCTTCTTGTCAGTTTGCCCATTCTCCCTATATTCTAAATTGGATGCATTTTTTGGCTCTTTCACTGCCCACTGAATTGGTAGCGAACTAGTAATTTTTTTAAACGCTTTTTTAATTGTTTGCTAAAAGTCAAGAATCAACCTAGCGAGACTGGGAATTTATTAAACGCGCAAGGAAAAACAAAAATTAGTACTGAATTTAAGGTCTGAAATTACAGCAAACAGCAAAGAAATGTGAAATTACAACAAAATAACAACACAACCCTAGAACTAGGGTTGGATCTAGGGTGTAGGTGGTGCCAGTTAGGGCTTGGGCCTCTGGCGTGGTGGCTAGCAAGCTGGAAACAGCTGTAGGAGGACTGTTTTGGGTGGCGGCAGCAAGAAGGAAGGGTTTTGGCAAGGTGGTAGCAAGAGGAGAGTGGTGAGGCTGAAGGGAATTGATGCTGGAGAGAGTAGAGGAAGGGTAGAAGGGGATACACATCTCTCAGAGCACCACTTGGAGCTCTAGGATACAACCCTAGAAAGGGAAAAAAAGACGCTGATGGCTGCCCCAAAGCAAATCACTGAAAAAACTGAACCCTAAACACCAAAAAAAGCAAATATACTTTTCTAGATAACTAGGAGTGGGCCTTTTCTTAAAAAGAGATGAACCTCTTAAGAATAGAAGACCAGCCGACCCTCAATACTTTTGGATTGAGCCGGTTCAGGAAAGCAGGAAATAAGCCACCCCACATCACCTAGACTATTGGGCATACAAAGTCTTCAAAGGGTGTTTTAAAGCCAACTATTATTGATTCAATAATTTTGTTCACTCGTGTTGGAAATTTATCTAGTATTTGAATGTTATTGCATTATCTTAAGAATGTTGTAAGGAGATTTTCATTGTTTGGTTTTTTTCGGTGGTGCTTTTTCAATACATGCATTTTTTTATCATTTTGACTATGCTTAAGGACAAGGACAATTTTGAAATGCAAAAATAGCCTTATTAACACCCATTGGAGTGGGTACCAAAATTCTACCTCAGTGATAATTGACTCGAATTGACCCAAAAAATTGAAGTTTAGACCTAACTGCATACAAAAACAACAACAAAGCCTTAATCCCACTACGTGGGGTCGGCTACATGAATCTTTTTTCTCCATTGAGTCCTATTAAGTGTCATATATTCATTAAGTTTAGACCTAAATGCGTGATTTTGAAAATTGAACAGGATCAGCTGATTCAACCAATTAGATTGTGAACCGGTTATAGGCTTTGGTTCGGTTCATACAAAAATCGTCTCCTAAATCGAACCATCCAAAACCGCATTAACCGATGATTTTACTGACAAACCAGTTTGAAAGAACCAACCTGTCATTTAAGTTTTGTATAAGAACATTTTATTCATTTTTTGAGCTTTTAATTAACATTAATCAATGATCTTATTGGTTGCAAATATGTTTATTAAAATATAATATTTTATTTTTAAAAATTTTAAAATTCATTTCACTCGCATCATAAAAACCCTTCAACATACAAATTAAGACCAATATGTCTACAGGCAAAATGAACTACAAACTCTTTTTTTGTTTCAATTTAAAGTTTACAATATTAACTTTCCCCTATAATGTGGGGCTGAACTGGTTAAGTGAATGATTATGAACATGAAGAATTGGGATCGGTTATGAAAACTGGACCTGGCTAAGCTACGGAAATTGTGCGGGAATGTGGGACTTGGGTTGCAATAATTGATAAAATATTTCATAAAATTATTTATATTATAATTTTTTTTTTATTTTGAATAAATTTAATATACATATTATATAACTATTATACTATTTTAAGTCATATTTAAATGATTTTACTGTTTATTATATTAACCGGTTCAACCACTGGTTCAACCTTTGCATTTTAAAATATTTTCTTCTTCTGGTTTGATGTTCGGGCTGATTTTCTTAACCTTGCCAGCATGTTTAGCGTTTGGGCTGAGTTCGGTTTAACCTAACTACCGAATCTTAACTCTGTAATATGTCCTTCTGATTAAACTGTCAATTTAATTGGGTAATTATTTAGGTTGATATATGATTAGTTTGATTAACTGTAAATGTTTGAAATTGATTGCATCTCATTTCCGAAACAAAATTTCAGGTGGTTTGTTTGATTGAAATTAAATTTAGCAAAGTTCATATCTTTAAAACTCATTTTAGAAAGGTGAGAAGTGTGCTCCAAGCTTTAGGGCTACAAAGTCATTTTAAATTTTTCTAGTTGCCTTTTTATAAAATTAAATTAATGCCATGATGTTTTGTAAGATTTCATTAGCAAAAAAAATAATATAATGAAAAGATAATGTGACAAATAAGAATGAAACTTACTGCAACTTAAATTCAGTAATCCATTTTGTTTAACTTCTTCTTGTATTTGGTTGGGCCGAGTTTGGGTTGCCTTCAATCGATTTAGATCTTTTTTCAGTCAAACCAGCCCCCTTGTTAGCTAAAATTAAGACTCCTTTGACACCCTAAGATTGAAAACAGCCCCATGATTGCTAGATTACCGTGCCTGTTATTAGTCTATTTTATTTTTTTATGCTTGATAGCATTTTAACTCTGCCAAGGACTCTTAGAGTGTAATTGAGCCTAGGGTATACTTGGGCTCAAGGATTAGGAATATCGCCTTAGATAATTAAAATGTCTGTTTTTTATTCGTTGAATTTTATCATTTTTCTATAATTTCACTATTGAAATATCCCATATTTCTCAGGTGTCTGTTGGTTACCTATTCCAATTACATTTAGGATCATCAAAACCATAAAGCACGGCATTCATTTTTGAGCTCACGATACTTTGTTACAGAGAGTAACTAAATGGGCAGATATTGCCACTTCTATGATTTACCTTCAACTGCAGTGGTGACATAACGTGGCACACAGATTCAAGGAGAAGCAGTCCTTTTTGCTGCAAGGATTTGACTTTCTGCAGTAACCGTGGACTAAATGTCAGAATTAGGGATTTCTGGCCATAAACTGCTATATTGGCCATGACTTATTGAAATTATATTCAATCTATGATTTTGTTACAAAGAAAGAGTTAGAAGGCCTTGGTATTCATTCGGACTGCTATTCTCTAAGCATGTTAGCATGGCCTTTAGACTTTTGCATCCGAGAAATCTTTTTAAATTTTGCTTGAAAACTTTTTAAATTCATCTTCCAAGCAAGGAGGAAACTTGGAACTGCATTGATGGGAGCATTCTTTAGCCTCCACTTATCATATTTGTAGCGGTTTTTATATTTATGTTCAGAGGGCCTATTTTCGGTTTAGCTTAAGAGGTTATTTGGTCTTAATTTTGGCTAAGGTTAAATTATGACATTTTAATAGCTTAACCGTTTGGATGTTGCTTTAAATACAACCCAACCATCCAACTGGGTTTAATCCTGGTTTAGAAACTTATATAATTATTGATATCTGTGTTTTTTATAAATAAAATTTTAATGTCAATACATAAATTTAAGATTTGATCCAATGAACTTTACAGAAATATCTCACCTCATTCAGCTTCTATCATCTCTTTCTTTTCCTGCAGTTGTTTACGAGGGATTCCTCGAAAAGTTGGCGGTCTGCTGGATCTGGAGGAAGCTCTCTGCTGACCACCAAAGAAACTTCAGCCAATATAGTTTTATTGGACTATATATCGACTGAGAAGTGGAATGAAGTCGTGGACTTTGATGATCATCTTGATGACATTAGCAAGTAAACACTTGCATTTCAATTATTTATTCGTCTAAAATATTTTAGCGGCATTTACATACATACCATCAAGTAGTTCCTATGTATTTGCATATCTAACAACTAAACTTACTTTTCTTACATTTGTGCCATCCATATCTTTCATATCACATCAAAAACACCTCTATTTTAACTTTTTTAAAAGTTAAATACGCCTTTTTCAGGCATAGGTAAAGGTTTTGCATACATGTGAAAATTAACATTAAGGTTTTAGATATGTAAATATATAGAAATTAAGTGGCATGTATTTAAATCTTCCAATATTTTCATGAGCTTATTGACAACTTACATTCTCTATAATGTCTTTTTTAGGGACTGGCTGAATCCCAATCTCTTCAAGTAGGCTTATGGTTATGTCTGGAACCCTCTGGTGATCTTCTTTTATCGAATTGCTTCTATGTTGGACGGTTGTATTCTGAATAGTAAAGTGATTATAAGTTGCAGCTAATAAGATTTTATTTTGATTTATTTTCCTCTGCGGCGTCAATTTGCTAAGATACATGCGTTTAGTTTGGTTTAGGTAAGCTTGCTGTAGTCTTTTGATGGGCCCCGGAGTCCCCAACCACTTTTTTTAGAGGAATTTTACATACATACCACACAATTCCTATGTATTTACATATCTAACACCTAAAAGTTAGATATTTACATTTACGACACCTTGTTGTCAATAACTTATGCATGAAAAAGAGTATTTTACTTTTGAGAAGTTGGTGATATTGGTATTTGTTTATTTAATATTAAAGATTCCAGTGTATGTATGTAAAGATGGACGTTTAGATGTTAGATATGTAAATGCCCTTTTTCTTTAATTGGTTCTATTAAAAATTTTGTTTTTTTGGCTGAAAAAGAGATTCATTTATACTTTGAATTTAATTTGAGGAATTTATGCTTCTCTCTCAGAGCATAGTTTCCTCTGTCTTGAGTGATGCCGGTGATAAAGGCGGTATAAACTACCAATAAATTTTACTTTCGAACTCTGGATG